ACAAAACAAAGGAAATGCTCAAGCTGGACTGGGGACCTGGCTCTTCGAGCCGAGACGCATATCGTCCCTGGTCTCAAGACCGGTAAGCCTGAAAACCAGCCACCGATTTCTCCTGTGTCGCACATCGCTGCGTCATCCTAACCTCCACGCCTCGGGCCCGCGACAGTGGCTCGGCCGCTCTGCCAAGTCACACCACTTTGTTGATACTTCGGCCCATCCCTAACATGTGCTCTCGTCCGCGGCTGAAGACGGATGTCATCTATAATGCAACCACTACTTGGATGTAAGGGGCACTAACTCCTTGCCCGGATCTTTGCTTCGTGCTGCTTCGGCAAACCCGTCAACTCTAATGACACCCAACCCTACCTCTGCCGGCATGTTGGGGGTAGTTTGGGTAGTATCAGCCGTTGTTGGTTGCTTTTGTTCTGGACTCTGACCGCGATGATGTGATTTCATTTGTCCAGGTTCCACGACAGTCAATCAAAAGCCTCACTCATGCCGTCGCATTTACGCGAGGTGTGATCCCAAGTACCAGAACCGTACCGATCCAGCTCGGCTACGTATCTGCCAGCCCTAAAACGCAGCGTATCAGTTTCGATTGCTCATCATGTTAATCTAATCAGGTTACATCTTCCGCTGACGTGCATGATCCCCTCCACGCGTTCATCCTTCGTTTACCACAAGTTTGGTGTGCAACACACGAGGGCTTTTACAGGAAGTCGGCATTTGCAGAACTCATCGTTACCGCACCACGCTTCATTCCACTCTTTACAGCATGAATACCGAATCTTTGCCTCGATAGCGAAATAACCAGTGGTGTAATCTTGGGTTCTTGCTAGAATCCAGTTCAGCTGCTCCACATGGGCTTATCCGGACACCCGTAGCCGTCCGTTTCGCGTTCCTCTTCGGATCAGGCATTTATCGTCAGCACACCCCGGATGAAACCAATGCGAGTTGGCAAGGGAACATCGGTGAAGTGCCTGTCGCATGCGTCACTACACTCGTTTCATCTTAATCTTGCTACACAGTGCGGCTCTTGCAGTCGTTGATGTGCGATTAGCATCTGCCCCATCGCAGATCCCCCAGACGTTCGACATTGCGCCCGCGTTCCCGCACCGTGGCAACACCAGTCATGGTCGTTACCAGGAGATGGGGGCTTACCGGCCTGTAATCTAGTTGCTCCTGCACGTGAACCGCCACTGAACACGGCATTTCATGGCTGCCGGTGTGCGATAAACTTTTCAAGGTGTCACGGGCACCTTTGATTGCCAAATCCTACAAGGGTTACAAAAAGCACAATATTCGACGATTACCACACAAACTGTGTTGAGGTGACCAACCTGGCAAATATGTGGCCATTTATCACAATTCTGATGTCATGCTTCATGCATCTGCGGTCCGTCGGTAATTCTTGACAAGGTTATGTTTCGTCTGAAGTCTCTCCCGTTTGCTAAGTGTATATGCGCTAGACATCTTAATTCAAAAGATTTCTACGAACGTAGAGCAGATCGCATACGCGCAGTCAGAAATTTGCGTGGTGAACATTGGACCAACAGTTCCTCCCACAGTTGCTCCATGTCGAGGTCCATCTCCTCGATGCCTTCGTCGTTTATCACATACGCAACAACGAATACGGCTCTTGTGATCTTGATCTATGGTGGCTTCTTTGGTGTATTGACGTTGGGGTCATCCTTGATGATCTGGCGGCGCGTCTCAACACAAGAGTGTCCTGCTCAAAGTGGAAGCTGTTGAACCGATCTCCTCTCTCAAGGTTGAAGCTGCCCGAATGAAGTGGGGCGGCGCGGATCAATCTCCGCACCGCCACGCCTGTCAACAGGGCATAGCTGCGGACTTCGCGGCTGTAACCGTGTAGGAGTCAACCAACCGACCATCAACAGAAGATGGGTTGTTTTTAACGCTCAATCATGGAACACTTCGTCACCCCACTTCCTTCAGCCGAAAGCGAAGCGAACAGGGTCGAGTATCAACCCACCAACATTGAAGCCGAGGCCAACAAGCAGCGCAGGAAAGTCCAGAACCGAAAGAACCAAAGGGCACATCGTGAGTTTGGTCTTAAGCATCTCGCCCTTGGCTGAGCTCATCTCGATGAAGGACTGCGAAACAAGAAGCAAAACCCAGTTTCTGTTCAGACGTCGCGCCCGTTCCAGATCGAGCGCTGGCGTCTGGATGAAGTTGACGAAAGCCTATCCCATTCCACAGAGCCCACTGCTCAAGATGTGACGGTCAACGCATCGATATCCATTCCTGATCGCACTGTAGTCCTCCGGACGCCACCTCCACACACTCCGGGTCAAGCTCCCACTACGTTAACACCCCCGTCCATGGTCTTTCCCCTCTCTACGGACCACCTCCTTCACCTAGTTCAATACAACGTCTTCCGAGCCTTTGTCTCAAACAAGCGTACTCTAAACGCGCTTCTTACAGGGTGGACAAACGATATGCCTCCTTCCCCAACCACATGTCCCATCAGCCTTCCTTACATCGACGACACGAACATCTATCCCTTGAATCCCAATATACCCCCTTCACTCTTCCCGACTCGCATCCAGCAAGAGCGTTTGCACTCTTTCTGGATCAACCTCTTTCCTTTTCCTTCAGTGCGCGACAATCTCATCAGGCATGAGGGACTCTTCGATCCCTGGGAGCTATTGCAGGATCTCATTGGCGAGCTCATGGGTGCTACGCCGATCCAAGAGCGACGAGGTATGCCTCTTGCTATCAAGGTTTCTGACCCTAAGGTTGTGTCAAAACCGCCGACCGCAGTAGTAGCACGTGATGAGGATGAGGTTACTGCGGGTCGCAAGGGACTCGTTGTTTGGGGTGAGCCGCACGACATGAAGAGTTGGGAGGCTACCCCTGGCTTTCTGGCTAAGTGGTCATGGGCCGTACAGGGATGCGACGATTTGCTTGTATCTAGTAATCGCTGGAGGCTGATGAGGGGAGAGGAACCTTTGCGTCTTCCTTCAATGGGAAATTAGTCGATACATCGAATACGTTCCAACACGAATCGAGCATGATCTACCAGTACAATATCCGATATCACGATTTCACGATAAGAACTTTGACCGGTAGTAAATTCAAGTACGGTGTGCTAATGCGCATGGGTGTATTCATAGAACTTCTATCATGTGTCTAATTGTACACTGAGTCAACACTGCTGTCCCTTTCTGAACGTTTTACTCATCACTCGGCAATCCCACAAGCTTGAGCGAGTCGTTCCAGAGCCTCTCCGCCTTCTCCACATCGTAAGCATGCGGAGCATAACCAAGCGCAGTGTACTTGTCATCGCCTTCTTTGTATGGCTCCGCAACAGCGCAGTCGACGAGGTACTTGCCGCCCTTGTGCTTCCATGTTTCGCTGATCGCTGCCCATACCGATGTTGCAGCACCCTGTTCGACGCTCTTCATGGTTGGATACAAATGTTCCATACCTTTGAATGCGTCCGGGGGCATATGCTGCGTCAGCCCCGTCTGAACTAAGCCGGGATGAACGCTAGTGGCGTGTAGATGGCGCGAGCCATAGCGGCGCTCAATCTCGTTGGCCATGTATATGTTTGCCGTTTTTGACTGGGCGTACGCTACGCTGGGATTGTAATCGCCTTCCTGGAAGTTGTAGTTGTTGGAGTCGTTGATACCGCAGACGTTGTGCGCTGAGGAAGCGAGACTGACGACGCGGGATGGGCGGCTGGAGCAGGCGGCTGCGAGAAGAGCGGGCTCTAGAAGCTTGTAAAAAAGAAAATGTGACAGGTGGTTTGTGCCGAATTGAAGTTCGTGGCCATCTGCCGTAAGGCGATAGTCGGGAATTGCCATGATGCCGGCGTTGTTCACGAGTAGATGGACTTTAGCGGTCCTGGTAAGAATGACGGCGGCAGCGGCACGTACGGAAGAGAGGTTTGCCTGATCCATCTCGATGATGTGCATACGCGAAGGTTCGAAGATATCAGCAAGGGCAGATTGGGCTTTGCTCGTGTCTCGGGCCGTGAGAAAGAGAATGGCGCCAGTGGTGGCCAGGGCACGAGTGGTTTCAATGCCGATGCCAGAGGAGGTACCAGTGATGACAATGACTTCACCTTTGAGTTTGTTCTCAAGGTTCTCGTCTTTGATGATCTGCAAGGCTGTTGGGCGCGCGTCGCCAGGGCCATTCGGCTTAACATGAGCTTCATCGTAATGAGGCATTCTTGTGTTGGCGGGATGCTGGGAGGGATAAAGGCAGAAGATATGACTTGCGTAGATGGCGTAAGCTGGATTGATAAGATCTTGAGGGATTGGATTCTGAGTTTGAACGGAAGGAGGGGCAAATGAATCAATTATGTACTCAACTCACCCAAGCTCTGTACGCGACATCTTGGTCTCATTCGTAGACAGCGTCGCTCAAGAAAGACACGACTTAGAAATCACCGTACGCTTTAGCATGCTTTCTCGGGGATAAGCTTGAGAGAAGGCTCACACCGCCGCTTCATATCGAAATCTGGGCTTAGTTTACAGGTGCGGTACCTTCGAATTGCTGATTTGAAAGGAGACGCATCATTCGGGCTGTGTGGATGCTTCGGCCCCAAGCTGCGAGCTAGGCTGAAGAGGGTGATAATGTCATCGGGTGGAGCTAAAGCTAGACTGCAGGTACGGCCGAAGATCCTCCGTGGCTCAAACGCACTAGGCCAAAACGGGAGAAAATGTCATCGCACTCTGATGTCGACCCTCAACGGAGGTCTTGGAAGGCAGTACTCAAGATGATGTGATCTATTCTTGTTAAGTAAGCATCATCCAAAGGACGGCGTTAAGTCATGGACTTACGTGTACTGCCGCGAAGGACTGTTGGCGACCTCGGGAATTTGAGGTAGACAGTCGCTGATGCTACCTAGGTACGCGCGAAACATAAGTAGGCGTCAGTTGCAACCCAATATGCAGTCAATATCTCCACTACTTTCCACTATCTACATCTCTATCTTCAGTTCGCACAAAACTCTACCCTAGTCCTCCAACATGGCCTCAACTCCTTCCACACCGAACCTCAGAGAACAAATTGAGGCAACAGCTCGGGCCTTCTTATCAGCATTCGAAGAAGGCGCAGCTCAGAGCAACGCTTCCATTATCAATCGCGACGTCACAGCCGACTGCACACGTCACCTACTTCCCGCATCCGTACCCAAAGCTTTCGGTCTTGCAACGGACTCGTACTTCGACACGACAAGTTTTCAGGACCTCTTCGGGAATGACATCAAAGTATTGTTGTTCAAGGATAACATCATGTCGAATTTGATCATCGACACGGAGGCGCGCCGCGCCGCTTTTACAGCTAAAGCCGATGTGTATGTTAGGAGCAGTGGAGAGACGTACCCTTTTGCGGGTGCTTGGTTCTTGTACTTTAATGAGGATGGATCTAAGATCAAAAAGGTGGTTGAGTTCTGCGAGAAAGACGCCATCTTGAAGATGGCAAGCGATGTGGCTGCTGCCTAATGAGTCTAGAGTAAAGACAGGCTGGAAGCTGAACAGGAGGTAGAGACCAAGATATGACCAGACTTAGCGAGCACATTCTTGAACAATACTATCTCTTGCAGCTCCTCTGCTGGTATCAGACCATTACGCCCTTAACGAAACCTGGTTTGTCTCTAGGCACAAGTCCAGTTCACCTCTTCCAAACCCGAAGCCATTGAAGAGATAGCCGCGGTCTAGGTTCATGCTGTCCATCAAGTCGGCTATGACATGAGCGGTGGCGATCTGCCAAGGTGGTTCGTAATCATCATGCCGTTATGTGTGTTGACCCGATTCATGAGAAGCTCCGGAGTGAGTCATTAGACCGAAGTGATCCTTCTGCCCCGCTTGATCGTTTCGCCGTCTAGTGCTGTCAGGACAAAGAACCAATACAATGTCCGTCAGGACTGGTGTATCTGAAGTTGATATGGATTTCATGCTTCCCATGTCGCCGACCATGGGTTTATTCCGCTCTAGATCAGTAATCGGGCCAATATTACTAGCATACATCCGCACAGTAATTCAATGGCCACTTATGCAACGCCCAGGGCTGTGCGCAAGAAGCCAAGCCAATGAAGTTTACGTACAGTATAAGACGGGACAGCACCACGCAGCTTCTCCTGAATATAAAGAGAAATCAACACCTCTTCTTACCACGACGAACGTCCTCCACCATGGCCTCTTTCGATGAAACCTTCAATACTATTCGTCGTCGATTTGAGGAAAACAAGCAGCCTATCCCTCCAGTTACACTTGGCGCCATCAGCAAAAATGGTATGGTACCTAGGAGTCCACCTTTCCCTGTCTCTTGTTTTGTTTCTGTTTTGCTGATAAGACGTGATCAAAAGGTTCTTTTCGCTACATGAAGGCGTTTGAAAAGGAATCCGACGACGCGGAGTCCAATGGTGTGCATTGGCTCGCCTCTTCCACCAAGCTGGTGACTACAATTGCTGTAATGCAATGCGTCGAGAGAGGATTACTAAACCTGAATGACGATATCGCCAAAGTGCTGCCCGAGTGGAAAGATCCGAAGATTCTGACCGGTTTCAATGAAGAGAATGAAGCCCTCTTCAGGCCCGCAACGAAGGCTATCACCCTCCGGTAAGTCTTGACACGTCTAAAGGCTTACCACGTTTTGCTAACATATTATGTTGGTGACCAGGCAACTGTTGACGCACTCCAGCGGCATGGCTTATACATTCATGGATCCGCTCCTGACCCGCTACGAAGAGCTTCAGGGTAAGCCACTGCCTGGCCCTCCCACATCTGTCGTAAGCTGGCTCACCCCGCTCGCCAATACCATTAGCTTACCACCAAGCGCTATAGGCAGAAAAGTTTCCCCACCACTTTCTCGTGTTTGAATCCGGTGAACGATGGATGTATTCGCCTGGCATTGACTGGGCTGGAGTTTTGGTCGAACGAATCACCTCCATGAAGCTTGGCGAGTACATGCAACGCCATATTTTCGACGTCGTGTCTGCCAATGACGCTACTTTCCATCCCGACCAGCGAGAAGAGACGCGAGCTCGAAAGGCCAAAGTTTGGGAGCGAGTGGGTGAGAGGTTGCAGGAACAGAAGCAGCCTCACTGGCCGGACAGGGTTGAGGCAGATTTTGGAGGGGGCGGTCTGTTCGCAACTGTGGACGACTTGCTCAAAATATACCAAGGTGTCCTGACAGGAGAGTTGCTCCGGCCCGAATCTGTCAAGGAGATGTTTCAGCCTCAGCTCGAGACAACCAAGGGCCTCGACCCAGCCGAGTACTCGTTGCCGTCCCGTAACGCTATCTGGAATACTGTCCCAGACGACGTCCCTGTCAGCTTTGGGATTGGAGGCTTGATCAACATCACTGCAGTACCGCAACGACGCGGAGTGAACTCACTCACCTGGTCGGGCATGCCGAATTGCTACTGGGTAAGTCTTCAAACTGTGGATGTGGACTCTGGCTCATCATCAAACTATAGTGGATCGACGTCAGCAACGGTGTCGCCGGGGTGTATCTCTCTCAGCTTGTACCAACCGGAGATGAGAAGGCTATCGAGCTCTTGACCGAGTTTGAGAAATTTGTGTACTCGAGTTTGGATACATCTTGAATGTTGATTCAAAATAGTATCAGCAAGGCAAGCTAGCTAAGAGAAGATCACACTCAACGAGCATTATGTTCAACGGATCCTCATACTTATCAGAAATTCCATTCCCATTTCTGTATGATAGTACGGTTGTCTCGATGGGAGGATGAGTCGCTTCTCCTCGTCAGACAGCCTGTGTGGTGTGCCTGCAAATGTAGATGTTAGCATATGTCTTGCGTTGTCCAAGTGGCTATGCCCGCATTTCTACAGCTCGCGCTCCGGTCTGGTCGTGTCGGATCAAGCTACCACCTATCCTTCTCTTCTTTCTCTACAACCTTCTCCGTCGCGAGACTAAGTTCACATACCTTTTTGCTTAGCCGCTAGTTCAAACGTGAGCTTCTTTACGCGCGAGCTTCGCGTACCCTACGTCAGCATCTTCGCAAGCCAATGTATCCTTAGCTTAACATCTTCACATACCAGCTTTGCAACTTCCATACTAGTATCTTCGCTAGTCAGCAGGTCCGCAGATTAGGTTGAGGCACGCAAGCTCTGAGGGAAAGATGTGCATGTAATGTATCGATTGAACGCAACGATAACTGTCTGAACTAGACAACTCCGATGCTCGCAGGTTGAGTCTCGTGAATAGTAGAATGTATGCTCAACGCAGGCCAGCCTATTTTTTCCCACCGTTCTTTTTCCAGCCCGCACTTCTGCTCTTGCGTCCATTGGCACCCTTCTTTTGGCCGCCGCTGCCCTTGAACTTGAGCCCACTCTTGCCCTGTCTCTCACTCGCCCTGTGGCCTTCGAACACGAAGCCCTCTTTGGTTTGTGCCTTGGCGACCTTGCCCAGCATCGATCTAGCACGTCCTTGCATCGACTTTTGCTCCTCAGTCAACTTCTGCTTGTAACCGGCACCAGGCTGGCCGCCTGGCCTGGGTGCCTTGGATGGCGGTGGGCCTCTCGGCTTCTCCTTGTTCTTCTTCTCCGCTTTGCAACGTGTAATACGAAGTTTGCGAGGGAGCATAGGTGGGTACATCTTTTCGTTGAGTTGCAGCGCGGCTTCGACGCCGTTCTCATCTACGAACTGGACGTAGGCGAAACCCTTTCCGACTCTTGTCTTGGCATCGCGGACTACGCGCACGCTCTCGATTTTACCGCATTTGCCAAAGTGTACCCAGAGACCCTCTTCGATGTCGGAGGCGGCCCTCTTCTTGTTGGGTCTCTCGCCTTCTGCCACGGGTGTTTGGGACAATTCGTCTACGAAGGGAAGGTTGCCAACGAAGACACAGCGGCGGTGGTCGACCTTCATAGGATGGGCTAGTGAATCGACATGGAGATGACGGTTGAGCAGCATAGAGCCGTTTAGTTTCTTGACAGCTTCTCTTGCGGCTACCTTGGTCGTGTAAACAACATATGCGTTAGTGCTCTTGGTAGTCGCGTCTATGATGTCCTTGGTTGCAAAGGCAGCGCGTTTGGGAAGCGAGGGATCGAGAGCCGTCGATCGGAAACGTATCGACTCGATCTTGTGCGGGGGCTTGTTATCGGCGAGGTCGGGTATGAAGGACTCCAGGTGCTTCTTGAGAGCCTTTTCTGCGGGCTTTGAGCTTATGCACTCGACCGAAACGTTGCTCAGGAAGACAGTGCGGGACGCCTTCTCCACCTCGGATGCGCTCTCGTCGGTCTTCTCCATGAGCGACTCATGCTTGGGAATTGTGACGTCCTCGGCCTTGTCCGCGTCCTTGGTCTCTTTGCCCTCATCTGCCTCATCCGAAGACTCATCCTCGTCGTCCTCGTCTGAAGAACCCTCGTCGTCCTCTTCCTCGGTCTTGCGTTTCTTCTGTCTTTGCTCCTCCTCCTTCTCCTCCTCGCGCGCTACTTTGCGCATATATGCATCCTCGATCTCTTCCTTGTCGCCGCGCTTGCGCTTCTTTGGCTTTTCCTTTGCGCCGTGCAGTACGGCTTCACCCAGTTTTGCTAGCGCGGCCTCGTCTTCAGATTCAGAGTCGTCGCTAGCATCCGACATGTCCTCATCCTCGTCTTCGTCCTCATCCTCATCGTCAGAGGGTAAGCTTTCGGATGCCGAGCTCAGTTCCGCATCGTTCGCATCGCCTTCGTCTTCATCTTCGCTGGGTTTTTTGGTCGCTTTCGCTTGTTCGGGCGCTTGGTACCGTGACTTTGAAGGCGCTTGCACAGGTCCGGCCTGAGAATTGTTAGCAATCACTCTTCAGCCCAGACATGCGATCAACGTACACTGGCAGCAAACAGCGATGCTAGCGCCGGGTCAAACGCCTTTTTGTCGACTTTGATGAGGGACTTGTCTGACTTGTCTGACTTGTGGCTCTTCTTGGGCGTGTCCGTCTTAGCCGAGCGTTTGTCCTTTGACTTGGCCATGGCGACAATGGAGATGTTGGTGTTGGCGACAGCAAGCTCGTCAAAAAGTTTTGGTGGAGACGCTTCACGACGAACGCGCGCTAGGCCCAGCTGGGTGGTGCAGGCGGCAGAACGACACCGCCCGGGGCAGGGCAGTGCGGTCATTTGCAAGCCTCAGGGCCTCTCCCGGCCGTCGACCCGCTTCAGAGCGCAGTTTACACCATCCCGACCGAGCTGCCCTCCGCATTCACCACGCACACAGGAATGCCCGCCGCTGTCCCGCGTTTGCACACTCTCCCGTACAAACATCGCAGACCTGCCACCCGGTCGCTCCTGCCTGAGACATCCCCACACGCTCCCTCGACGCCCGCGTCCCTCACACTCACACCCGCAGCTCTGTTTTTGACCGCTCGCCGGGCCCTGCATCCTCCACCCCCAGAGCGCCCATATCGCATCGCGAAGGTCCACAACACCGTTCACGGCATATTTTTACGACATTGGTCACGCGGTGAGGCTGTCTTCGGCGTGGGCGCACTATGAGCGCGCCCGAACAGACCAGACGGAGCACCTCGAGAACAGCTGCCGGCCCCAGCGAGGACGTCGCGCACACTCAAAGTACGTTGTCACCTCTTCTATCCCGACCCCGATGCGCTTTCTCGGCTTCCTCAAGCGCGGCACTGCGCCTGGGGTCGCCGCTGGAGAGACTGTCGATCTTTGCGTCAACAACCGAGGCGACGACAGCGTCGCGAACCTGCCTCTCTCACCACGTCTACTACCCACGCCGTCCGAACCTGCACCAGATCTAACAGCCCCTCCCAGGTCCAACTTCGACCCTCACCACAGAGCTACCTGACCCCACCTCCACCACCTCTCCCTCCAACCACTCTGCGCCAGCGCAGATACCCACACCAGCTGACCAAGACCCCACCGCGATCGCTGCTGCGATGCTGTCCACCATGGCAGCTCCGACCACAGTGCTCACCGAGTCGCTACCTACAGAACAAGCTCCTAATGGCTTCGATGATGTTGCCGACAACGGCTCCAGCAGCTTGAGCGAGCTCGGAGACGCATCGGACGATCAGTCAGAGTCAACACCACGGCCAGCCGCAGTAGCCGATATGGACGAAGATGATTCAGAGGCCGAGACCGAGCGACTGGACAACACGCCTCGAAAGTTCGCGCGCACAGCGACCGAGACGTCATTACTCTCTGAGCCCATCCACACAAGAACACCGAGCAAGCTCGCGCATTCCAAGACCATCGAGCACGACGAATCCGCCCCGCCTACACCATCTGCAATTACAGACGATGTCACCATGGGCGAAGCACCTACAACTGAAAACCCTCTGCATTCTCTTTCGCTGATCGCAGCATCAGAGGCGGCAAATCTCGAACACGTGGGCATAAAAAGAAAGCGTAGCAGTGCCGAGGGAAGCCCAGTGGACGAGCGCGAAGAGGAACCAGTACGGAAACGAAGCGTAAACGCGAAGGGTTCGGCGCTCGATGGCCTGGCTGATGCCGCAGCAGATAGGCAGGGGCAGATGGACGCCGACGAAGAGCTCGAGAACGCCGAAGAGCACCTGTCGGCACTGGCTCGCGAGGAGCTAGAGCTCGAGGAGCGACAGGCCAACATTGCCGCGCAGACTGTCAGCGAAATGGCCACCGTCGCGAAGCATACAAAACCAAGAAAAGGCGGCAGAAGAGGGAAACGGAAGACGGAAGACGCTAGCTATGCCTACGCCGAGCCGTTTGCAGCTGCTGAAGCCCACGAGGCTGAAGCTGAGGGCGAACATGACGATGAAGACAGCGCCGTGCTCGATGAGGAGGTCACCAAGAAGAAGCAGGCGATCGATGAGCTTGCAAAGATAGAGAAGAAGTTCAAGCTTTTCCGAGAGAAGTAAGCAATTCACTCAGGGCATGATCAGAAGGATCAGCTACTAACAGTTACCAGGCTATGCGACGAGCAAATAGCGCAACTCGAACGAGAGCTCGACATGCTCAAGCAGCCAAATTGCGTCCACCCAGAGTACGTTGCTATGATCAAATGCGTGGACGATCGACGCGCCGACAAGATCGCATACGAGACGAGGCTTTTGGAATACAAACAGAAAAATCTCGAGATAATCACAGCAGCAGAGCGCCATCAGATGCACAGCCAGTACTTCCAGACTGTGCGCCACATCCGCGAGGACATTCTCGGAGAGTGCAACCAGCGGGTATTCGAACTACAACGTGGACGACGTCAGCTTGGCTGCGATGAGACTGAGTACATGGCGCGATTACCTGAGAAGCGATCCGACCAGATCCGACACCAAACAGCATACAACCTCGAGGTCTCCATTCTTTCCGGTGTCGCCAAGTACGTTGGGTTCCCAGCCGCCCCAGATATCAGCGCTGCGCGACCAACCGAGATCGATGAGGATCTTCGAGCAATGAAGGTAAGTGGCTGAACGCATCTGCTAGAGAACTAGCAGCTGATTCGGCGCGTTAGATTGCAACGCGTGCTCCAGTGCCGCCCCCATCGTTCCGTACCTACAACAGAACGACAACAGCGGACGAGGCAGCTGCAGAAGAACAATTCTTAGAAAGCACGCCATGGGCCAACCCACGACATCCTTCACATCAAGAGAGTCGGTACCCTCCAGGGCCGTCAC